CACAGGGGAAAGGGACCTGGGGGTCCTGGTGGACAGCAGGATGACCATGAGCCAGCAATGTGCCCTTGTGGCCAAGAAGGCCAATGGCATCCTGGAGTGTATTAGAAGGGGTGTGGTTAGTAGGTCAAGAGAGGTTCTCCTCCCCCTCTACTCTGCCCTGGTGAGGCTGCATCTGGAATATTGTGTCCAGTTCTGGGCCCTGCAGTTCAAGAAGGACAAGGAACTGCTTGAGAGAGTCCAGCGCAGGGCCACAAAGATGATTCAGGGAGTGGAGCATCTCCTTTATGGGAAAAGGCTGAGGGAGCTGGGTCTCTTTAGCTTGGAGAAGAGGAGACTGAGGGGGGACCTCATTAATGTTTATAAATATGTAAAGGGTGACTGCCATGAGGATGGAGCCAGGCTCTTCTCAGTGGCATCCAATGATAGGACAAGGGGAAATGGATATAAGCTGGAACATAGGAGGTTCTGCTTAAACATGAGGAAGAACTTCTTCCCAGTAAGAGTAACAGAACACTGGGACAGGCTGCCCAGAGAGGTTGTGGAGTCTCCATCTCTGGACATGTTCAAAACCCGCCTGAACGCGTTCTTGTGTGATCTGATCTAGGTGGTCCTGCTCCGGCAGAGGGATTGGACTAGATGATCCTTTGAGGTCCCTTTCAATCCCTGACATTCTGTGATTCTGTGATTTCTGCCAGAGCTCATGTTCTGCTGTTAGCTTTTGAAGGAGAACATCCTAGCCTTTGTGGAGACTTTATGAGTCAGCCCACTCTAAATACTGATCCATACTGAGGCTAGGTAGGAACTTCTGTGCTACCCAGAGCCCAGAAGAACAGTCTGAAAAAGCAGAAGTGCTGGATGGAGCCTTAGGAAATCTGGGTTCACTTCTCAGCTGAAGGAGGCAATTAGGGAGGTTACTGAGTCACAGACACTCAGCAATTACGCTGACATCTCAGGTGCAGGTACCACTTACCTGCTGCTGGTTGTGCATGTTCATGCTGGAAATGGTCTTCCTCCAGGCACGTGGCTTTATGAGATCCTTGGGCTGCCTCCGGTAATGATTACTGCAGATTTAACAGCGTTATTAGTTTAGCCAGTCAGACCTTTATCAGAAGAGATTAGCAGGTGCGTGAGAGCTTTAATATCCTTGGCAGCTCTATTTCTTCCCAGGTAATTGCCTTAAGAAGGTTTTATTTTACTGTCTGGATTTTCTTTCATTCCTCTTTTTATTCTTTAGCTTGTTTCCTGAACATTTTGCCACATTTTCCTTCCTTGCACCGAGAAATAACAGCTCATGACTTGTGAACACCGGGTAATGGGATACATCTGCGAAAAGACTCATTCACACAGGTCTTTAATTCAGCAGCTCCATTCTCGTGGTGAATGGCTGAGGAGAGGAAAGTGGGGCCTGACTGAAAACACCTCAAGTGGAAAATGAAGAAAGGTAAAGACTATGTGGCACCTGGGGCCACAGCACGCCTGTGCAGCCACCCGGAGATGCTGGAGCATCGCCGGCTCGTGGTCGGAGGGTCTTCGCGGCCACTCTCTGCAAGTTCAGCCTCACTGCGGTGATTAGAAATGAGAATATTTTGATCTCTCCAGCCTGCACCAGCCAAGTGCAAGAGATGCCCGGGCTGTGGCCAAGCCTGTTCCATGGAGCATGGGAGCCAGCCTGGGAATCCGCCGTGGTGGCTCTGCTGAGGACATGGTCTGGCGTTTGGAGGTGGGATGTTGAGAGGCTCAGCTTGGCTGCACAGTAAAAAGCCACCTCCTGCAGGGACAGGGAAGGCCAAGCTGCTGGGCAGATGGGACAGCGAGAGCCTGGCCGCCAGCAGTGCCGACTGCTCGCTTCTCTGCAAATTGGACCCAGAGAGCCTGGCAGAGCGTGGCGGCTGGGAAACGTCTGCCTCATTAAGGAGTGATTAAAGTTTGGTGATTTTATCCTGGAGTGCACACAGCATTTTGTGCTCCATGGTATCTGTCTGTTACCATAAAAACTCACAGAGATAGCAGTAGGGCATATGGGGACAAGCTTTTAATTCCTGGATCTTTCAGGTGCAGATATATTTCATATGTATTTTTAAAAACAAAGTCTTCTCAGATAATTTCCCCCCCTAGTTTGTAACATAAACCAGGTGTCTTAGAGTGCAATGAGGTAAGAGGGAAAAGGTTGAGCATAGAAAACATTTAAAATCAAAGGTCACATTGCAGCTCCATGAGACTTCCCCTTCCCCGTGCAGTGAGGATAATCACAAGGTAATCAGTGCCCCTGCTCTGGCAGCCCTTTGCCGGCTCTTCACCGGGGTGCTCCAGGCACTGATGACTTCAGGGGGTTTCTTGCAATCAGCAAGAGACATCAAACAAGAAGACTCTGGTGTAGATTCCTCACTTGAAAAAAAAAAAAATGTTTTCGGCAAGTGCTGAACCCATCTTTATTGCTGAAATGTTTAAAAATTATTATTTGAATAAAATAAATACTAATTAAATAGTTAAATTATATGACTGCCTCACAACCTTTAGTGAGCAGGTACCCTTGCAAGGTGGAAAGCAGCATCCTTCCCTCTCCAGACCAGGCACTTATCCTAGTGTGGCTCCTCCTTTGCTCCAAAACAGGTTTTCCTGGTTGATTCAAGCTAAGAATGAAAAAAATCCCTAAATTAGGGCAGCTGGGAACCTCCCTCATGGGCTGGCAGGGAAGCTTGAGGGTAGGCAGTTGCATGAGACGGCGTTGACTTTACAGCTGCCTTGTATCAGCTCTGAGTCCTGGGACTTTGCCCAAAGATGTTTAGCAGGCACAGAAAGCAACTACTGCAATTCCAGTGCCGCTGGGGCTGACCTAAGCAGTAGTCATTCATTGCCAGAAAGTTGGGAAAGTCTTATACGATCCCCGAATGTGCCAGATGAGCAGTACTTTCCCGAAGGCTGTCTTTCCCGGAGGGTTCCAGCGATCTCTTTGGTAGTACCTGTTTATAGCTGCTCTTTTATTTGTTCTTCTAGCAGCCTCCATTGATTTATTTTCGTGCTGAATATAATCACAAAGGTAAACTGAGCTGCACTGATTTTTTTCTAGAAAATTTGCACTGATAGTAGTCTGGTTCTTTACAGAGGCATCACGATGTGCTGGAAACCCAGGCAACTCCTGTGCTCTCCCGGTTCATTTAGATATTTCAAGCCAGGAGAGCTCGGGTCTTTCTGTATGGAACGTGCTGTGGTGAGGGGGGTGCAGGAGGAGACATGGGAACCGTGCTGGGGGCTGCTGGTGTTGCAGGTAACTCACCAGCCAGCTTCCATCCTAGTTTGAATCTCAGCATCAATAAGTCTCCTATATAAAGTACCTATAGGCAGGAGTTTTTCCCTTTGGAGGACAGTCTTCTTTCTGGGATGCTCAGGCTTGTTGCAATGAAGGTGCTGGCCCACCCAGAGGGCTGATGAATATTAGAAGAAGGATGGATGTGTTATTTCTGTGTGTTGCAGCGGAGCGGGCACCGTGCACCATCCACCGGGAGTGACTGAGTGAGCATTTCTCAGCCTGCGCTGTGTCAGCATGAACGTGTCCTACCTCCAGATGACTGTGTCCTGCAAAGCCTTACTGTTGATCAAATTATGCCAGGTCTGATACCATCCCCTGCTCTCCCTCCACTCTTTAAAACAGGTTAATGTGGAGCTTTTTTTTGCGTAGGGATGTAAGAATGAAGGTACCAAACAGACCACACAATGCTCAGCCCAGTATCCTGCTCCCAATGGTGGCTGGTAGCACGTGTCCCGGGAAGGAGAAAAAGTGGAAATTATAGGTTATATACCCAATGCCCTCTAAGCCAAAAGTTGCATCACTGTTTTTAATAGCCCTTGATGGCCCTTACTGCTGTGGACAGTCTAGTCTCCTCTCGAACCCTTTTTATTGATTTCAGCCCTCACCACGTCCTCTTCCCGTGAGCTCCGCTGCTGCTCATGGTGTGACGAAAGGTGCTGCCTTGCTCCTACACATGCTGTCTAATCATTTCACTGGCTTCCCCTGAGTATTTTATTATAACAAATAGTGATTCATCATTCTCCATATGAGGGCTACGTACCAGTCGTGATTGTATGTACCTCTATGATACCTTGTATGAAAGATTATCTCTTTTTTTGTCTCTCCGGTGGTTCACAGGCAGAAAATAAACCTGTCGCATCTTCGAGATGATACTGACAGTACAAGAACAGATTGTGGATATTCCCAGAGAGAGTTACCGAACAGCAATTCCCTGTATGTCCTTACCACAGCAAAGGGATTCGAATAAAGTTGGTTTAGACATCCTATTTTGATAATGTGGTAAAATGCCTGTATTGATTCAGATGGCAAAGCAGAGAAGACCAATGGGGGGAAGAGAGGGACTGAGATGCATTAGCAGCATTGCAGCAGGAAAACATTGTCCTTGAGACATCTAAAATTCACATTTCCAGTCTGCCTGGACACATTTAGAGAGAAACACATTTCCTCAACCACACATTAAGTGTGAGACGTTCGGCTCAAGCTCCTTTGAGGAAACCATTTGTGTTCACCAGCCAGAGCCGTGTCTGCTCCTGAGTCCTTGCAGGGCCAGGAGTCCCTTGAATGCCTATCAAAGTGCCTGGCATCTGAAACAAGGAGCTCATGTGGCCTGGAGGACCCTGAGATGTCTTCTCAGCCCTAAATAGAAAGAGATCGTTTAGCAGATAAGAGGGGGAAAAAAGCCACTTTCTCAAATGCCGAGGTTTCACCTCTCTCGGAGCCAGCGTGAGTCACCCAGGCACTGCTGGGTGACAGACCTGTTCAGGTTAATAAAATCACTGCCAAAGCCCGGGCGGTTCACGGGATGCTGTGTGGCTTTCACATTGACGTCACGGCTTCTCATTTACCCTTGGGTGACAGTGACCGAAATTCATTACTACTTGGCAGCCGTCGGGTAAGCTGGGCAAAATAAATCAGCGTTCTCCATAGCAAACAGGTGTCTGCAGCACAAAAGGAGCCATTCAGATCAGCGGGGCAGGGGGGGTATTTTTCATCAGAGGAGTGAAGAGATGAATGAGTCGTTAGAGTGAAGGGAACTGGCAGGCAAAGAGTGATAACGGAGAGAGGCAGGGGGAGATTTCGCTGTAGAAACGGTGGAGAAGCGGTTGGAGCGTGGGGGGATAGGGAGAGAGAGGCTGAGGGAGACAAAGAGGAGTTAAAGTGAGCAACTCGACTTTATCATAGGAAAACAGCAACGCTGAATGAAACCGGAGAACATATTTCAAAGTGTAAAGAGGAGTTGACCTTGCTCAGTGAAAGTGGCCCGTTTCACAGTGGGTTGTCTCAGTGGTTAGGAGCCCTGTGGGGCTGGAGAAAGATATGGGTGTCTGCATCAGGAGGGGAAGGCACAGGCACGTTCAGGAGAACCTACAGTCCCTGGTATTTCTCCCTCCGTGGAGGGTGCGGAGACTTTCAGGGTAGGACCCAGGCAAGAGCTCGTGAGTTGAGAAAAATAAAAAGGATACTTTAAACTAGATTTCTTGCACCTTTGATTGCATCGTTTGATCCTGGCCATTTCCAGACCTGGGCCACCGTGTGGGACAGAGCTGGTCTGGCATCTCCATGGTCTGTTCTCAGCTGTGTATTCAGGGTAGGATTAAATTGCCGGTCAGGGCAATGTGGGGAAGTTTCAGTATTGTATCACATCTGGTCTGGGGGTGGAGGACATGTGTCTCCAGGACTTGGAGTCAGTGGGCATTGGGAGCAAGCTTTTAATGCTCCTCAGCCTGGTGCATTTTGCCAGCCTTAGAAATATGCCTTGAAAGAAGAAATAAAATCTTCACAGGCTTTTTTCAACAGCTACTAAAAGATCAAGCAGTACGCTCCTGTATCACCTGCAAAAATGCAGATGTTCTCATCTCCCAGCACACATAAAAGCCATTTCTCACCCAAAGTAAATCTGGGTATTGTAATTTCTTTCTCGTTCACACAAAAAGAGAATACAAATTGCGGATGGCACTGCCTGTTAAGGAGGAATCTTTTGTTTTCCAGGCAAATTGTTAAGTAACATGAAATGTTATTGTGCAATCATTACAAAGGTGGGAATCCTGTTGGGTTGAATGGCTATTTTTCATCTCTATTTTTTCAGAAGCAAAAAGCACTCTAGAAGGCAGGAGGATATTATTTGAAACTTAGATTTCCCAGAATATCATTCCCTCGTTCGATAATAAAATAAAAGCCTCCAGTCATCAAAAGCCTGAGTTCCATTACATGTAAAATCCTCCTCCAGGAAGGCTGCTGCCTTCGTTCTGGGGCTTGCTAAGAGGAGAGCCCAGACGTGCCAGGCGGGGGTACACAAGTAGCCGGGGCACAGGCTCTCCTGGCATCAGGAAACGGTGTGTGTCCCCTCACACTTCGCTTTGGGCAGGCGCAGGGAAGGGGCTGATCTCTAGTTTCGTTCCAGCCTTTTGGGTCTTTGTTGTATTTTTTTTTCTGCCACCTGTTGCCTGATCTGATGTGTTTTCCCCTAGATCTTTGGAAGAAAGGTTTCCTTTTGTTATGAATACAGATCCAGTGCTCAGCGCAATAGAATCATCAAGCTTTAGTGGGGGCTTTCGATGCTAACGTAATAAAAATATACAATTTATTTATCAAAGCCTCCTTTAAAGGAGATGATAGAAGAAATAGGTTTTAACCTACTTCTGATCCTCAGGAAAAGCAAGCACTTTGATTCTCTCCTTCCCAGACAAATAGCATTGCATTAGTTGATTCTGATTTTATTAGCTATAAACAACTTTCTATTTTTATTTTCACATGCCATTGACTTTGTTTCGTACAGACACAGCTGAACAAGGGCTGTTTTTTCAAGTGCAAATCATATTAATAGATGCCCAGTTCTTTCCACTCTACCCAAAGGAACATAACTGTAAGAAAGAGAGCTGATGCTCAAAGAATATTTTCCTATTGCATTTCCCAAATCACCTCCGAGGCCACATTATCCCCTCTGAATTCCCAAATGTGGAATGGTGATGGTTGCTTTAGTACTTCTGGCACTGTCTCTTCACATCGGGAGAATTTATTTGCATGGAGGAGTGAAACAATACGATCAGACAATGAAATCTCAAGTGGTAAAGTATGTAAAATTCTCCACTCCTATTCCCTTTTATGATGCTTTTTCTAGCATTTCTTCACTGCTTGCAACTGCAACGGATGGATTTGGAGCGGCGAGTGCCTCCTCTTGCTGGCTCTTTATCAGCACAGGGTGAGCAGCAGCAACAAGCAGTCAAATCGTTGCTGTATCCAAACGGCATCTCTGCATCCAGAGATGGAGCCGTGGGGAGAGCTTGCTCGGTGGGAAGTTCATCTATCTAATTATGTGACTGTTGACTGGGCAACAGGTTACACATCTAGTTGTCCCCAGTAAAAAGCATTTGTCCTAAAACTTGATCTGAGTTAAAATACGTCACCTTTTTCTCTCATTATTTCCTCCTTTCTCTGTCTCTGTGTTTTCGAACTGGTGGTGGGAGTGATTAGAAGAAAGGTTTTTTTCCGTCATTAAAATATCTGGTTCAGAAAGACCTCTATAGAGTCATTAAATGCAGACGAGGGTATGAAGTGCACTTCCTGAGCAGAATTACAAGGAAGTGTTCTCACTGGAGACAGTGTTCAGAGGTGGATGCTGGCAGGAATTCAAGCGTCCACACTTGTTCTTACTGCCATGACCTCCCTGACATCTCCTGCCCATGGTGGGGGTGGTGGAGGGTTCTTTCTTTGCAGGCTCCATTGGACTTCGGTAAGAGAGCAGCTCTGGGACTGAGGAACGAGTTGTCCCTTCGGACAGAGAGAAGTTGAAGAGAGAGACCATTCTTTGGTGGTATTTGCTCTTCATTTCCTTGGCTGACCTGTAGAGGTTCCCAACAAAGCAATAGCATATAGGATTGAGACTGGAATTGGTGAGACCAAGCCACTGGGCAAAAGGTCTGAGCTGCAGGATCCAAGGAGAAGGAGTCACATCCTGCAAAGATTTGGGAATGTTGAAATCAATCCAGATGTCCATCAGGTAGACGGGCAGCCAGGAGATCGCAAACAGCAGGACCAGGGCCACCACCATCTGTGCTACTTTCTTCCGGATCTTCAGCCTGGAGGCTGGCAGAGATCGGTTGAGGGCAGTGCTCTCCTTCAGCTGGCTGCTGCGGCTCCACAGCCGGCGCACCGTGAGGAAGCAGATGACCATGTTGAACAGGACCGGCAGGCAGTAGAGGGCACAGAAGAGCAGAAAGTTATAGGCTTGCTTGAGCCTCTCCTGAGGCCAAATCTCTCTGCAGATTGAAAACACCAGAGGCAAGCCCTCCACCACCCCAATCTCATCCCGTTTGTTCATGAAGATGAGAGGCATGCAGATCCCTGAGGACAACAACCACACCACCAGGATGGTGCTGAGGATCCTCTTCTGAGTGAAGAAAGACCGGGCGTTGAGTGGATTGTGCACGCTGTAGTACCGGTTCACGCTGATGACGGTCAGGCTGAGGACGCTGGCAGAGACAGAAACAGCCTGGATGAAGGGCACCGCCCGGCAAAGGAAGTCCCCGTACACCCAAGCTTTGTAGATGAGGTTGCCTACAGTGATAGGCATGCAGACGCACACCACCATGAGGTCACACACCGCCAGGTTGATGAGGAGGCTGCGGGTGGCACTCAGGCTGGACACTCGACTTCGACGCTTCCGAGTGAGCACCCTGATGGACATGATGTTGCCCACCAAGCCCACCACAAAGGACACCAGGTACATCGCTGTGAGGCTGATGGTGATGGGTTCCTTCACAAAGAGGAAGAGCATCTTCTCTAGCTCTTCCCAGCCCAGCTCCTGGCTCCCATTCCA